TTCATCTGCTGTAAACCCTGCCAGACATTGCGGAAACTCCTAAATCTTTAATACTATGTGTATCACTACCATTTTATCACTGTGATCAGCACAGCTGATGCTGCTGCTGCTGATACATCTCGAATTACAGAATCAATCCGTTTTTATTTCAAACAAGATTTTACTACCCGCGACAACCGTACATAGAGTGCATATCCTCTTTGTTCTACATACATACTTAAATGTGCTTATTGGTTTCTCCTTTTACAGTAGAACGTGCCAATATTTTTCTACTTTGCGCACGCTATCCTTACGTTGATCGACTTCAACTAAGGATTGCGTCATACGTCATGCCTTAGTGTCTAGCTACGCATTTATGACGGCTCGGGCTGATAGTCATTTGAGTAGTTGAAAAAAAACCACAGCTGGAATGTTGAATTCGTACTCATATCTAAGTAGAGTCTACACCAGAGATATGCATTTACCTATTACCCACTTACTTATTCATGCACATACATGTACGTACATATGTATGTATAAATATCTGGGTTTCGCGAAAAGCTGCAAATGTTGTCAAATCAGAAAAACAAACTCTAACAGAATATGTGAGCAGTGTTGGAGGGCGTGACAGTTGGCAAGATGTTTGAAATTATATATGTATTGGTAAGCAGGGAAGGCGTGCATAAAGGTGCCGGGGATTGATGGTGGGCGTTATGCGAATGCGAGCAGCTGAAAAGTCGCCTATGTATGCAGATTTAAAAATGGAAAATTAAAGATGCCACTATTTGCGCATTCAATTTCCATTCACATAGAATCCTTATTTTTAATTGGCATTTCATCACATTTGGGTATGTAGTTTGAAAATGTTGTGACAGTCTCCCAACTTTGCGACATTGTGCACTGCTTCCTTCTACCAAAAAGTGATAGGTTGTCTGGATTGTTCGTTAGTTGAGGTCGCGAGTATAAAAAAAAACTCCTCGAGTACTTGAACGGCCTCAAGCTTCATACAACTGGTTAATTGTATTATATTTTAAGGAATCTTTCGTGATTTTCCAGGAATTTCGGTGATTTCCCGGAACTTCTTTGATTTTTTTAAAATGAAAATTGTAGTTGGTAAAACCATGTCAAAAATACTATAAGGTTGTGAAACGATTTTGGCTGAGTTCAAAAAAGCACTCCAATTCGCTTATCTTCTGTGCCAACTGATGCCAATTGGCAATGCCAAGTGGTCTTTCCTTCGCAGTGGGGACCTCACTCTTCCTCTACCACCAGCAGGTTCCGAGTTGAATTTTTTAAAGACTTGGAGCGTCGGAGTCCATTCGAACGACATGGCCAAGCTAGCGGAGCCGCTGTTGTTGTAAAGCTCAAACAGATCATCGTTCCATCGTCTGCGGTACTTGCAAAATCAGACATCGCCGCTTTAAAGTTGATGCTACTTTTCTCGCGGGTCTTTTCCAAGATTTGGGGTATTGTGAAAACAGGGTCCATGGTGGATTTGCCAGGTCTAAAGCCACACTGACAAGACCTAATCAGTTCGTTCACGGTGGGCATCAGTCTTTCACACAATACACCCGATAAGACCTTGTAACCTATACTTAGAAGGCTGATACCGCGGCAAATAGGCCGGATGGCGGGTTCGCCTTTCTTGTGGATTGGGCAGAGCACACTTAAATTCCAATCGTCGGGCATGCGTTCATCTGACCATATTCTGCATAAGAGTTGATGCATGCACCTTATTAACTCCTCGCCGCCGTACTTGAATAGCTCAGCTGGCAGGTTTTCAGCCCAAGCCGCATTGTTGCCTTTCTAGCGCGCTATTGCTATTTGTACCTCGTCAAAGTAAGGGGGGGGGGGGGGGGGACATCACCCCC